CTAGAGTGATGAATGTCTGCTTCCTAGTCCATACACATTTTATCCCACTTTTTCTTTTTTAAAGGCTTTCTGTACACTTGATGTCTAAGTCAGTGTTACATGGAAGTGGTGATAACTGGTGTTTAAATTTTAGAGTACACTTTCAGTATCTGACCTCTTAAGAATAATGATTTTGGGCTGGAGAGAAGACTCAGTGGAATAAGCACTTCCCTGGCAAGTGCAAGGGCCTGAATTCAATCCCTGGTTCTGCCAAAAAAAAAAAAAAAAAAAAAAAGGGATTTCCAAAGGGATTTTTTTCCTTTTTTTTTTTTTCCTCCAGGTAGTTTTCCTTTAGTCATTGTATGGTAATGTTAAGTTTTGTTAAATGCTTTGCCTAACTCTTGAGAAAGTAATATTTTTCTCTTTATTCTATTAATATTGTGAATTTATATTGATTTTCTAATATTAAACGAGTTTAGCATTTCTGAGATAAAGAGAGCTTAGTCATGTTATGTTATTCTTTCTTTTCCTTCCTTCCTTCCTTCCTTCCTTCCTTCCTTCCTTCCTTCCTTCCTTCTCTTTCTTTTTGAGAAAGGGTTTTACTAGGTAGTTCAGAACAACTTTGAACTTACCTTGCAGCACAGGCTGGCCTCAGACTTGCAGCAATCCTCCTGCCCCAGCCTTCTGAGTGCTAGGATTATAGGTGCGTGACACCATGCCTGGCTTGTTACGCTGTTTTTATGCACATTGCCTTATTTAATTTGCTGATGTTTTGTCAGACTTCCTTGAATCTAATGACAAAAGCTGGCCAGACATTTTTCTACTGTGTTGTGTCCTTTGCTGGACTCAGGCAAAAGTTTTGCTAATTGCATAAAACAAATAGGGGTGTATGTCCTTAATTTTTCCTTTGGAATGGTTTGTGTCAGATTGCAATTGTTTCCTAAATGTTTAATAGATCATGCTGATACTGGCTGGGGTTGATGGCTTTTTTTGTGTGAAAGAATTCTGAAAACCGCTGATGTTCAATGGTTTGAAGAGTTAATAGGACTATTTAGTCTTTATTTCCTCTTAGATCAGCTTTGATGAGCTGTAGTTTTGGGGATTTTATCCATTTCATCTGAGTTTTCCAATGTGTCATAGTCAAGTTGTTCCCAACGTTCTTTTATTATCATCTTATAACTCTTTGTAACATGGGTGGAGATGGTCATTTTTGGGCTCTAAATACTAATTATTCTTACCTTGTGTCCTTTTGCTTAGTCTTACAGGGACACTAATTTCATTAGTGTGCAAAAAGAACCCACTTTTGGCTTCTTTGATCCTCTTTGTTATCGTTCCAGTTTCAGTAGATCACTGTTTCCTTCTTGCAGCTTTCTTTGGGTGTGTTCTGCTTTTCTGGCTTCTTGCATGGTGTATTTAGCTCCTTGGTCGCCAGTTTTGTTGTCTGTGCAAGCATTTATCCTGTGACTTCCCCTGCGTTAGCTGCTTCCCACAGATACTCACTGCTGTTGTCAGCCCCTGCCTCCCAGTTTGTCCTGCAGGACTGAACTTCATGTTTCTTGTGTTAGAAGTGTGTGCTGTGTCTCTGTTACTTCTCTCTCATTGCTGGGACAAGATACCTGACAGCTGAAATTAGGGAAGGAAAGGTTTATTTACCTCACAGTTTGTGGCAGTTTCAGTCCATACTCAGCTGACTCCAAGGCAGGGTGGCAAATGGCACAGGGCAGCAGTTCATGGTGGAAAGCAGCCAGACAGCAAAAGCAAAGATGGAGGAGCAGCGGTGGAGAGCAAACCTCTCTCCCTTCCTTACATTGCATTCAGGCCATCTGTGGGGTGGTAGTCATACCCATAATCCCAGCAACACTCACACCCATAATACCTGCATCGCATCATGTATTAATCACAAACCCTAGAGGCTACCCTATGACTGCATGAGGCTTTGGGGGGACAACGAGACACAAACCCGAACATACACTGTTTGTATTTGAAAGGAAATCAGGATGTGGATGAATCTGGAGATGAATTGCAGGACACAAAACCGCGAAGAGGATGGGCTGGGTAGATGGCATAGTAATAGGTTTTCTTATCACAGGTAGGATACATCTGCAGGAAACTACAGAAAAGGGACAGGGAAAATCAGCTTCACTAATATCTCATCATAAACAGTAGCCGCTAGAGTGTGTGTGAGAACATATCTATGGAATTTTTCTTTGCTGCTCCAGAGGAACCCTTTTCTGTATGTCACAAGCAACTTTTCAGGTCACCAAGCACAGTAGAACAGATTTGCTGGTCCATTTTGCTTGTTTGTTTTTGCACTGTCATGTCTGTGAGACCGTCTCTGTGTGCACCGTGACAGTCTGTTCCCAGGAACCTCTTTTGTTTCCCATTGAGACACAGCTCGACCACGCTGTTTTTGCATCTCTGTAGGAAATGCGCTACCTTTATGTTGGATGTGGTTGGATAGTGGCTTGGGGTTATTTCATGATCCAGCGGAAAGAAGAAAGTAGTGATTGAGGTGCCAGGCAGTAACGTGGTACCTTGCCACTGACTACCACCGAGGCCACTTTTGGAAATGTTTTGTGGCTCAGAGCCTGTGCTCAGCTTCCTTGCAGCAGGGAAGGAGAAAGCAGGAGGGGAAAGCTTTTCTTTCTTTTTTTTTTTTTTTTTTTGTTTGTTTGTCGAATGCCTTCAGGGCACTTTAGGCCAGCGGGAGAGTTGTGAGGTTCGAACTCCAGCAACCTGAGGCTGACAGCTTTGCGGAAGCAGCCACTTAAAGGACTGAGCTAGAGCCAGGCCTCCTGGGAAAGCTTTTCTTGACAGCCTTTTTTCTGGGCTCTGTGCAACTGGGCTGTTGTAATCCATGTGCGAGACCTCTAGGGTTTGGACCAGATGCAGGGTGGGGCTGATCTGTTGCAGTGTGTTCCCAATTCTGTACTTAAAAAGGCTAATTAGAAGGGGGAGATGATAGCTCAGGGGAACACAGACAACTCTGGGGTTTTGAAATTATTCCAGATTTCAAGAGGCGTTTGGATCTCACTCGCGTTTTGAGTTTGGTGGGCCCAGCATGCTGTGGCTGCAGAGGATTGAGACTGTGCATCACTGGTTTATTACAGGAACTTTTGTCACACTCACTGGGCGTCCCCAAAGCGAGGCAGATGTTGCTCTTCCTCCTGCTTGTGTGGCAGGTGTTCTCACAGCTGTGACATGTGCAGCCAAAGGTGTGCTGCTGGGAGAACTGCAGCTTCTGCCAGCCCTGCCTCCTGCCAAGATGGAGGGCTTGGTCTCCGGCTATTTGGGGAAAAGGATGTGGTCCCAGCAGGGGTGTGGCCTAGCATTCTAACGGGGGGGGGGGGCACCCCGCCCTCTTTGTGGGTAGAGCTTCTTGCAGGAAGATAATTAGGACCTGGTGAGATTCTGGCTGCAGTGCAGAGTTTAGCGCCTGGCATCTTGTGCTGTGAACAAAGGACGTTCAGTGCTGCTCACTGCAGGAGGCTGCTGTGGGGGTAGGCTGGGCATGGAAGCCAAAGCCAAACCTGGCTTACCCTAGCCCAACGCAGGGGCTCTGAGTGCCAAGTCCACTCGGCTGTTAGCCTTGGAAGGCATTTGGGCTCCTCCCACATCCTGGAGGGTTAGATCCGTGGTGGAGGGAGTGGAGGAGTGGTGAGGTGCTCCTTACGAATAGTGAGCTACATGGGATCCCCTGCACCAGGGCTCCTTCCTAGGTTATCTGTTCTTTTGTGTGTGTGTGTGTGTGTGGGGTTATTAATTCTTACAGGTGTGAGGGACATAGACTGCAGCCTGTGGGATGAAGTGAAAGTGGGGAACCTGGTGGAGGACCCCCAGGTGTGTTCCGGGAACCTCCCCCGGTGGGCTCTTGAACACCCTGAATTTTCCCCGTGTGGACCCCAACGATGGCCCTTGCTGGGTCCCATGGCTGCTGTGGTCAGCTTAGGTCCACAGGGGAGTCTGCTCAGGTGGCTGTGGATGGCAGCACGTGTGTGCTGCTCCAGGGCTTGGTCTCTGAAAGCTCAGCCAGTCCTCAAATCCCACTGTACCTCCATTTTTATATCTATGGCTTTCTAATGGATATACAATCCATGGTAATCTAATACCAACAGGAGATAGTATAGCTTTACTGGTCAGATGTCCTTTTTCTAAGCTTTTTTTTTGGTGGGGGGGTTGGTACCAGGGATCAAACTCAGAACCTTGCACTTTTCAGGCAAGCACTTATTCCACTGAGCTATCTTCCTGGCCCCTACGCTCCTTTACATGACATTTTGAATAGATTCTTTCTCAAACTTACTTTCTCACAAAGCTTTCTGCCCCAGTCTTTCTTGAACTCCTTTGACCCTGTTCTGGGGCTGGACTGTAAAGTGAGAAACCTGCGCTGTGGCTTTTGCCTGCACAAATGCAAAGTGTGAGCAAGAGATGGATGCTGTCACATACTTGTGTAAATTGGCCAGGAGCTGGGCTCAGACAGTGAAGGCCGAGGTATAAGCTGGATGTAGCCCACTGCGTATTTTTATACAGCTGTGTTACTTAGCTTTCCATCACTGTAACAACATACCCAAGATAATCAACTTAAAAAGACAAATGGTTTATTTTAGCTCACAGTTTGGAAGGTTGAGTCCATGGTTGGCCCTGTTGTTTGGGGCTGTAGTGAGGTAGGGGTGTGCGGTGCCCACTTCACCATGAGCCAGGAGCGAAGGAGGGACCGCAGGAGGTGCAAGGGCAGAACTATTTTCTCTTGGACTGTTACAGAAAGTTTGCTGACTCCCAGTGAAAGCACCTGTAGAAGGGTTAGGAAGGAGGGATACCAGGAAAGACGCGGCTGTGTCACAGGGTGGCTATGTGGCAAGCTAGAAGGGGCTTGGGCTTGGGCTGAGGGAAAGTGGCACTTCAAATAGCTGGAGTGCACTTTCTAGACAGCACATGCAAAGGTCCTGTGGTTGGGGGCATGGTGTGTGGAGCTTCCTGGGGCTGAAAAGACAGCTTGTGTGGCAGGACCTGAGATGGAGAAGGAGACTCCTACAGCGGTTCCCAGGATGGGGGTGGTAGTGGGGGCCAGGGTGTGCCTGGTGGGTGGGGTGCTCTGCCCGGAAGATCACTGACTCTTGTTGCTCTTTCTTTTTCTTCAGGTAAAACCTGTTTTCCAGTGTGTCGGTGCCCTGTGGGGTGAAGGATCTGGGAGCTGCCTCTCCTCCCAAGCGTAGAAACCAAAACAAACACTATTTATGACCCTGTGGCTCTGCTGTGTGCACCCGCCCCCGGCATCTGCTCCTACTGTCCCATCAAGCTTGTTTCCAGTCACTGTGGGAGGGAGAGTGGCCTTGCTGCCCTTTGGATGCCCTTCTCTCATGTCACCCCTTCCTTGCCCTCCTCTGAGAGGTCTTTGGCCTTATCAAGAAGATAAGGGCAGGAACATGTTGGTTAAAATGAAAGCTTTTAAAACAACTGCTGACAAGAGTAAAACTACGATCAGGAGTACTGAGGACCTCCAAGGACCTGCGGGGTCCTTCCTGGTGGTGCGTGTAGCATCGTGCACACTGTGTTCTCCTGGGCCATGCAGGGATGTCTGGCCTCTGTCCATCTTTTCACCCCTGTTGAGTTCTAGCCTTGCCTGAAATGGCTGTGTGAGACTTTACAGCAGGAGGTAGCTCCTCTGGAAGGCTACACTTCATGGCGCTCTCTCTCTCTCTCTCTCTCTCTCTCTCTCTCTCTCTCTCTCTCTCTTCCTTCTTTACAGGGTCCAGCAGAAATAGGCATGGCTAGTTCACAAAGAATTTCAGATTTCAAATATCAGGGAAATAAAGGTATGTATGCATGAGCGTGTGTGAGTGTGTGTGCGTGCGTGTGTGTGCATGCGTGCATGCATGTGTGTGTGTGTTCCAGAGTGAGTGTGTGTGTGTGTGTGTGTGTGTGTGTGTGTTCTTGGGGCATAATTCCTTTTCTCAGTTGAGTAGATGGCGCTAGACAGCTTGGGATAGCAACACGTATATTTTTTTGTTTGTGCTTTTAAAATAATGTTTCTCTGCTGTGTCAACAGTTCTGTGTTGTCTTAAAAATATAATTAAAGAAATAACTGTGGTCATTTCAATGAGTGGTGATTTGAATGGGTGGGACACAGCCCCAGTAGGACTCTGCGGAAGTGGGGCAGGGCTGGGCTGGGCTGGGTGGAGCACCGAGCCTCCTGGCTGCAGGGAGGTGGGCGGGGCTCATCTGCCAGCCTGAGGCGACAGCATGGCCCACGGACACCTGTCTCTTGGAAGCTGGACCTCAGGGGCTTCTCAGTGGATTCTGGCCTCCCATTTAACCTGGCCCCAGCCCCGTATTTCTGCAATTGCCGCGCTTCTCTGTTCTGGTCTAATAGCAGGACCTTTGGGGCCCTGGTATGCTGTTCTAAAGATGGATTCTTTTCCTTTCTCTTCTTTTTTTGGCACAGGTTGCTCTGTAACCCAGGCTGGGCTTGTCTCTACATTGTCCTGCTCTGGCCTCCTGAGTGCTGGCACTACGATGGGCACCACCGTGCCTGGTTTAGTGGTGTCCTTTTCCTCACTTCTTTTTCCTTCTGGTGTTGCCTGGGGGCCACGTGTTTTTATCGTCCTGCTCCACTGTGTTGGAGGAGAACTCCTGCCTTCCTGGTCACACCACTTCCAGGTTCTTCTGTTTCCTGAAGTGACTGTGGGGGTGGGGGAATGGATAGGGCCACCTGGCTCCTGGAGCCTGCTGGACGGGGTGTCACGAGGGGCACCAGCTGTGCGGAGCTGCGAGGATGAGGGAAGCCTGGTGCCCCCCCGCCCCGCCCCAGGGCAGCACTGCCCCTGCTGCCTGCTGTCACAGCCTCATGTGGCTCTGGCCACTCCGCATTCCCTTCCTTTCACGCTTTGTTCACTTTCCGTCTCCCTGCTGTCTGTTTGCCTTGGCATGGGGCCACGTTATCTTTGCCTGCGTGGCGTGCGGAAGCCAGGCTACCTCACAGCGCTGCAACCTCTCGGCCTTCGGGCGGGTGTAGCTGGGGCCTCTGCCCGAAGCCCAAGCACCGTGCCTCTGCCAGCCCGGAGCCTGCCACTGGTGCTGGCAGGGGTGGCTGCTGAGGGTGACCCGCAGGTCCTGGGCACTGCAGACGCCATGTGCACTGGGCCTGCGCTGCGGCACCTTCCGGGCAGCTGGCGAGTGGGCCCTGCCCACTCAGCGAGGGGCTTGGGAGTGACATGGGGCTGGGGGAAATGTGCAGGTTCTAACACCTGCTTGTGGGTTTATGGCTCCTTTCCTGGAAGCTGGCTCTTGCATCTGAAGATACACAGCCCTTGCTTGGGGGGTGTGTTGGGGTCTCCAGTTCTTTCGAAGCTGCTGGTTCCTTTGTGTCTCGTAGCTGGCTTTTGTCCAGGCAGTGCTAATAAGCTGCTCCCATCTAACGCCACCAAGAAGCCGGGATGCAGTCTCCTTGACTCTTCCTGTCCTCAGCCTGCTCTGTACAGAGCAACTGGAGTCCTCCGGGGTGCTCTTCCTCCCAGCAAAACTGGGGCCTGGGAGTGCTCGAGGGTGGGTCTCCCAACATCCGGGTCCCCCCAGGGGCACGTTCTCCCTCAACGCCTTCATATCAGGTGCTTCCTTCTGCTACTAGGGGGTGCAGGAAGTGTTGTGTGGGTGCCATGGCCCTTGCTCACCACACATGGAGTGCGGGCATCTTGCAGCTTGGCCTTCAGTTCCGGGAGTTCAGTGGGGGTCCCCCTCTGCCACGTCCTTTCTACACAAAGAAAACTGTAGGACAGGTTAGAACAGCCGTTGTTAGAAAACGTGCTTTGTAGGCACCTGGAGTCACTGTCCTCCAAAAGCACGTGTCCTGTGTCCTGTGTCTGTCAGCTTCCATGAGGTTCTTGGGTTGAGAGACACCATTAATGGATGAGGGGGAAACAACCCAGAAGAGTAAGGTTCAGAGCAGATTGTGGGGTGTGTCAGTGCCCCAAACCTTCAATGAGACTGGCTGCCAAAGCCATCTGCAGAGCGTCCCAAAGGAGGGAACAGGAAGGGAAGGAGGGAGGACAGTGCTGTCACAGCATCAGAACAGAGGACTATGGCTGGGAATAGGGGACAGTGGTTGGACAGGGTTTGGTGGTAACTCCATGCCACCTCTGGCTAGCAAGTCCTCCCATCACCCAGGCTCCTGCTCGCTCCCCAGAAGCTGCATCGTGAATTTGCGGCCCCTAGAACTGCTTAGGTTTTGACCACTGACAGTTTGCTGGGTCCCTGCAAGGTGTTTGGGTTACATTGGCTCTTATACAGATGTGTGTGTGTGTGTGTGTGTGTGGTGAAGTGGCTCTGGGAACCTGTCCACCCAGAAGCCACCAGGGCAGGTGAGAATCCTTCCCATGAAGCCTGAGGCTCTCCCCCTTGACAGGTGGGCCAGCGCCTGCCACCAGCCATGGTGCCAGGATTCCTGGGGTTCCTGTTTATCCAAGAACACTCGATGGGGCCTCAGTGTACCTAAAGCAGCAACAGAGCAACAGGGTTTGTTTTCTATTATTGATGGGAACCAATTAGATGTGACTGTTCTGTGGGGCTGTTGTGGGCCACACCCGGTGTCCCCTTCAGCATCCATAGAATGGGCTGTTGTGGGCCACACCCGGTGTCCCCTTCAGCATCCACAGAATAGCTAGCAGGTCTGACTCTCCTGGGTGTCCTTGTTAATTTATTTTTAGTTCTTGTTAGCTTTAGCAGGGAGTCCCACTGTTAAGCTCTGTTTTCCAGGGATGGGCTTTTGCTAAGCCAAGCTGCTGTGGCTGGGCATGCAGTGAGCCAGTGCACATCTGTTGGCAAAGAGGAGGCCCTCAGGTGACCGCTGACTAGGACAGTGCAGCCTCTTCGGCAGACTCGGACGCGGCCACAGAAATCACTCCAACCGCTGCCTGAGCCATGAGCAAGGAGGGCCTGCCGCAGAGCAGAACAGGTCAAAAAGCAAACATGTGATGGTGGCCTGGGTGGCTTCAGTCACAGGAAACAGCCTCAGAGGTCTGTGGGTGCCTCTCCCTCGTTATGAGGCTGTTGTGCTGCGAACGGAAGAACCTAGCATGGAGTGTAAAGTTGCAAGGAGGACAGGATCGGCGGTGTACAAAGTGCTGAGACGAAGGCGGGGCATCGCCGGCTACCGAAGTGTGAACTTGAAAATTCCAAGTTAAGAGTTACAACAGAAGAGCGAACAGAAGAAAACGGACTGCTTCCGAGCAACCCCTTAAGCACACATTTGTTGCAAGAAGCTCCACGATCTACACAGAGACCGTCAGGTGTGCTGAGGAGAGGCTTGAACCTAGAAATTCCAAGGTGAAAGCTACAGCAGAAAAACAAGTGAAGTCAACAGCTGCAGTAAAAGCTGATGAGCACAAATGTAGAATTACTGTCTCTGAAAACTACAAAATTCCTGCCTCAAGCCCATGGCTTTTAAATAAGAGTACACAGAGCCCTAAGAGCAGGAGACGTCTGAATTTGAATATGGATTCTTTTGAGCTAGGATCCCAAAATAAGTCATCAAGATCTACTTTTAGGGGCTCGGGAGACAGCTCAGTAGAGTAAGTGCCTCCCTGGCAAGTGCAAGGGCCTGAGTTCAATCCCCGGTTCTGCCTCCCCCCCCCAAAAAAAAATCTACTTTTACATTTTTAAAAATCTACTTTTGGAAGCATCACAAAAATATGCAGGTATTTTAAAGAAAAAAATATGAACTGAAAGCTGGAGTTTTATTTATTTGATGGCTTCTATAAAATTTCTGAGGGTTGCTGGACCATGGGTGTAGGATGTAGGTACAAACCACTACTGCACAAATAAGAACTCCCAAGTGGGGGTGGAAAAATTAACAAATCCTGTACCCTGTGGATGCAGGGGAATGGTGTCCGGAGGCTGGCTGGACTAGCTGGCACCCAGGCCAGATCAGGAGCGTGGGTGATGCCAGAGTATGCGGGTGCGGGAGGAGGGGATACGACTTTAAGATGAGTGAGAACAACACACGTCAGGACCCTGGGCCAGTCTGAGGTGTTTGTGGTGGGTTAAAGGGATGGAATCTATAAGAGACTGTGTAAGGGAGGGAAAGGAAAACCGTCCTCCAGTGTGAAGGCAGAATGCCTCCCCCGGTGTCAATACTCCCCATGCCTATGTGTCCATGGGCAGTAAGGATCCCTCTGCAGGCTGTCTCTCTGACCCTGGGCTCCTCACTCATGTCCTGGTGGTTCCTGATACTGCTTCATCCCTAGAGGACATTAACAACATTTAGCAAATCATCCCCCTAATACATCCTCCTCAGATGGGCAAGTAAACACCACACAAAATGTAAACCTAAGCCAAATAAAAGCCACCATCAACTGAACAACCCTCTTGTAATATTCCTGCACTAATCTATCATGTTTTAACACTTTGAGTTACAAAATATTCACTCTGTTGCTCTGGAAACATTACAGACATTTCTCTAGATTCCTCTTCTTGGCATATTTTATAGTCTTGAAACAGCACATTTGTGTATTTTTCTACACTACTATGGGTCACAGAAGGGCTGCAAACAAACCCCTCATGCCCCACCTCTCCCATTAGTGTAGTCTTTTTCCTTTAGATCGTAACAATTTAACAAATGCAAACATACAAAGACGAAGCCAAAGAAAAAGAACCGGTACTACCATACTCAGGGCCTAAGCTGCATCCTAGCACCAAAAGATTTAAGTTGGCATACCAAATGTGCCCAAGAAATTAACAGCTCAGAAAAATGGGGGTGGGTGGGTGGGATTTGTGAGTAGGAGGATAAAACTTAGACAGTTTCATTCTTGAGCCGGGACACATCCTGTCCACAAGAAGGGACGTTTGGCAAAGCTGTGTGCGTGAGGCTCCCTCAGAGGCCAGGGCTCCCC